TAAACCTGTATAGGAGAATTTGAACACGGAGAGTGACTAGTTGCTTAAGCGTTCACTTTAGGGTCACACAATTAATTACCTCCAATGTATCGTCTCTATTTCCATTGTCTAAGCACACAAGGAAACTATAATCTCTCCTTTCACCTAATCAATCTCTTCCTTACAACAATTCAGTCATACCAATAACTGTTATTTCCACTAATATATCTTCACTCTTATAATCTCCAACTGTAATACCGCAACATCACAGCTTCAGCACACAATTACTCTCATTCCAATTACTAGAATTCTTCACACAGAACTACCATTCATATTACAGTGTTTCACACAACCACAGATTCACTCTTTCTGCTGAACTACATTCAAATTTCAGCATTCAATCTCTCTTCTTCTCATTCAATAACATATAATTTCAATCACACTTTCATTCCATGATTCACTTCACAATATTCAAAAACTCTCAATACTCTTATTTCAAAGAACATAACAATAAAAGAAAAGAGGTAGCACCAAGCTTACCCCAGCTCACACTATCACAGTAATGGCCGTTTCTTCCTCTCTTTCATCCTCCTTATCCTACCACGAGATACCAACTGCTACATCTCTAATGAAAACTGCTTTTCCTAACTATTCATCCATTTTAACTACTGAACTACCTTTCCAACAGTCATCTATCCCTGTTTACACTATAAACTAAGTATCTACAAATCAGCAAATAACTACTTATTCTACACACATCCAAATCAAAGAAAGTCAGTGAGTGATTTTTTTCATAGTAATAGTTGGAGCCATATCTTAAGTTTTTGGACGAATTTTTACCTCAAACTTTTTTAAGAAGGTAGATTAATGTGATGAAAAGCTATATATATAAGTTTTGTGGTATTTAAGTACTTAATTTGTGAGATATGAAAAAAATTGCACATGGATGTATAAAAACTAAGATTTGAAGCTACTGTTAGGAATTTGGCAATATCTTGAGATCTGCAATGAATTTGTAATTGAAATTTGTGATAGTAGTTTTTAAAAGTATATCAATATTTTATGTAAAACTTGAGTATGTTTGAACAGTCCAATTAAGAGATATGAGTTTTTGAAGTTCATAATTAATACTCCATAAAGATATATAAGGATTTAGAGTTTTTAATCATATTTTGGGTGTTTTTGGAAACTTAAGACTTATATATTTGATGTAATTGCTTCTAAAAGTATTATATATATATATATATATATATATATATATATATAAACTTGGACTTTCTTATATTAAGACTTGATTGAATAATTAGTGAAAACTAGTAGCCCAATGCTTTCTTGAGGCAAATTCTCTCTACTTTGATAATGTCATCACCTTCTTATCACATAAAATTGGCAGAAGCAGTACGTGGATAACCACTAATAACTCAAGACCTTCCAAGAGGGTGATCAGGTATTACTCTCCAACACCAACTTGCCACTTGTTATATCAATCCAAATCTATAAACTCGCACCTTAATGGCTTAGAACTTTCTATATTTTTGCAGTGATTTTTGATGTCACGTTTTTTCTTGAGCTTGTGCCATATATTTGGATCCATCCAATCTTCCATATTTTACAAGTAAAGAAATTTTATATTAAGCAAAAGTTTTTTTTAAATTGATAGTAACCGCCACCTTTACTAGTTATAATTAATGATCAATAAGAATATGAAGTGGATAGCATTTTGGAAAATCTCTACCTTCTTCAAAGCAATGGATGTCTTCAACTTCAATACAAAGTTCTTTAGAAAGATTATTCCATCCACAATGCAACGTGGGAACCTATATAGAATCTCATCCATTATCAACATACAATTTGGATATATCATTGAGAGCAAAATGATGACATTTCACATTAATAGATGGGAATTAATTATAACAAGATATAAATAAGATATTTGTATTATTAACACATATGGATAGATAGTTAGAACCATATTTAAAAAGTTATGAAAGTTTTTAGAATTTGAGCTAGGTTAGTGGACTATGTAGGATCTATTGTAGAATATTTTAGAAAGAACTTAGGACGGTTATCTAGGTAGGATCCATCATGGAACCCTTTAGAAAAAGCTTAGGATGGTTATTTAGGTGGAATCCACTATAGAACCTTCTAGAAAGAATTTAAAATAGTTATCTAAATAGGATCCATTATCTAAGAATATTTTAAAAAGTCTAAGGTAGTAAAACAAAATATAAATGAGACTAGCAAGGGTCTTTTGGAACATCTGGTCAAGTATGGCTTCAAACCTTTCCTCTTAGTAAAATTTGGTTTGTAACTTCTTCTTCAGTTCACTTTAGTTCTATTTTTTATTGTTCAATTTTGTCTTTTATGTCTTATTTTATTTAGTTCTATTCAGTTCTATTTTGGTCCATTTTATCCTACTTTATAATGAAATTTTATATTACTGTAGATTAAAAGAGTCTTAGATTCTTAAGACACATCAGTCTTATTTCAATAGGCCTCACAATGATAACCGTCTTAAGCTTTTTTAGACAATTCTACAGTCAATTTTATATGAACCACCATCCTAACTTTAATTCTACAAACTTTTCATAAACAACTTCAACTACATATCTCTATGTGCAAATAATATAAATATCCGATCTATGCCATATTTTAGAATTTGTCTTAGTTGAAGGAAGTCTATCAATTATATTTCATCTATTGTCAAGGATTGAAGATTCTTTTTCTTTATATTAGCCACATATTTTGGTGATCTAGCTGCTATAACATTGATTTGATTGGGTACAGTTTCGCAATAACATTATTTAAGCATTCATCTTCAACTATATATATATTGTTGTCTTAGTTGAATAGATGGGCTTTTAATCAACTAGAGGAGGTACTTATGAGTATATTGATTGTACATTTGTATTTGGTTTAAATTGATTTAAGGTACTTAATGTGTTGTATATACTAATCTTTATTTATATAATAATTATCACGTGATGTAACATCTAATGCCAAATCTTATCAGATATATGTAATTTAATTTAGCTTAGTAGTTTCTCATCTATTTAATTTTTTTCATTTGATGACTTTATTAGTATCAACTAAGTTTTGAAGACTTAGATAGAAAAACCTTCTTGACTTAACATTCTTGTCAAGTCAAATCTTATGAGTAGTTTTGAGGGAAAAAAAGCCTTTATTGTAAGATTTTGCTTGATTATGGTGATTAGCATTTTAGTAAAGCTTTTAGGAATTTTTCTACATACACTTGTATTCTTAGATTCCTTCTTTGTGGTGTGAGAGATAGCTTAATTTAGTGGTGTTTAAATTTTTCATATTTCTTTGAAAGTATGTTGATTGTATATTTGTAATTGGTTTAGATTGCACACTTCATGATTGATTTTTTTTTTAATTAAAATTAAAAATTGTTCCTTTTGAAATTTCCAAGAAAAATTCTAGTAAATTATGTGGAAAAGAATTAGAATAAAATTATCATGATCCAAAATAAACAAGGTTTTATTTAAATCCACCCAAAATACATTTGTAAGATATTTATGTTAATTGAAATGGATTCATCATTTGTTACTTGGTTTATACAACATCAGCAATAGATTATTCTGCTACAGTAGTGAATTTCATGTTTCATAAAATCTAAATAAATTCAATTTTGTAGAATGGCGTTTTAAACTTTGAAGAGCATATGCATCCTCTAAGTGAACTGATGATGACGTGGACATGATTGCTGGGTCCGTGAGGTGGTGTTGGACCCAATGAGGCACCGACCGATTCCAGTGTTTCTTTCATGCATCAGAGTCGATCCTTTTCTCTTAACATGTTTCTTCCTGTTGGATCTGGGGTGATCGGATTACAGCAACGCAGCATAATTGTTTCTATGACGAAGATTTGTTACCAGGAATCTCGATAACTCGCGACCACCATCCATCACATTACTTTGTTGAACTCCCACATTCTAGAAACAAGTTTTCCTTGTTTTGGATTAGGAAATGTGCTTGGATTCTATGAATCAAGGTCACTTGGTACTCAATTTTCGAATCTGTCATTGACATGTCAATATGGATTTGTATGTGAGTTCCAGCACCCGGTTCCAACAGCACCTGCTCCTTTCAGTGTCTAACGGGATCATTAGGGACTCTACATTTAGTTTCTTTGTCAGTGGAGAAGGGAGTTACGAATTTTTGTTCAGTTTTCTGTACTGATTCGAAACCAGGAGTGGTACGCATGGTGATGTTGAGCACAGAAGCTCCAGGGTTTATCAGACTAATGGACTACAAATCCATCCAATGTTAAGTCCTTCTGTAGCAAGATAATGAAATAAACCTGGACAGCAGGCTTCATTTCGCGGCTCATAGGACCAGTCTTTAAATCCACTTAGAAGCATAATCTCTCGCGAAAAATCTCACCCCCACGTGGGAGGCTTAAATAATTGCCAGATCTTACAGAGTAACACATGCATAACTTCGGATATGACATGTGCTTAGTTCTGAACTGAATGCTAGTCCGGTTTTCTTCCTGTGATACATTAAGAATCGCAACTTGCGCATTGGCTGTCCCAAAGAAAGCTCGCATCTTTACTTCGCTAATCCAAGATAGGTTTTCACAGCTGAAAACCTAAGTCAGACGGGGGCATTACAGGCAAACATGAAGTACCTTTGTAAAGAGGGAAGATTCACAACAAAAAGATTGACCCGCTACCGGGGAGTGCTTCAATATGGTGAAAATGTTTGGTTATTACTGCGGTACTGTAATCCTTCATACACGCCCCTGAAACCTCCCACTACGAGATTTTGGCCGATTTCAGCTTTAACAATAACAATAATCAGTGTTGACAACAACGATTGACAGGTGCAGAGGAGTATATTTTGAACTTGGTAACTCTTTCAGACATGGGGACCGAACAGATGCAACCACAATAGGAAAAAGATAAAACTCTCACATCACTCTAACCATAAAAAAGCTTATTCATGAGGACTCTCTTCACTCTAGCCATTCAAGCACCTTAGTCAACGAGAAGGAAAGGATCAGGCAAAGCAAATCATGATTTGATGGGTAGCTTCCAAAACACGTAGCATCTACGTCTATAAACCAACGAATACACAGGGCATAAAAACCTTCTCTTTCTCACATGCCCTGAGAACGTGGACCACTTTTGATGAGAAGAGCCAAGGCTGGAAAGATAGATCACGCCTCAGTACCCTCACAATGTCTTATATACTGTAACAGAATCATAGGAAATTGAATGTGAAAGAAATTTAAATGTTCCTTAAGCCAACTCCAAATTGTTTCAGTGGTGCTTAGCCTGCAACTCAAAGAAAACACCAACGCCATCGACAATTAATCACGATTCCATGCAAGTAAGAGACATCAAAATAAAGAAAATAACCACGAAGAAAAAACCTAAGAGTTTCCCAAAAAATACAAATAAAAATAATCACCAGAATCCTCTCGATAGTCAATCCACGGAGAAAAGCACAGCTCACCTCTTCGTGTCCATCATGCCCTCCATGCCCATGACCCTCCCAGGGGTGACGCCATCCCTGATAAATGCGAAGTCAAGTCTGAGGTTAACCCTAAGGCGATGCAACAACTATATCGTTCATTCACACTGCTTCCATGACAAAACCAGAGCTCGATAATGAGCAAAAATCATGGTGATTTGAGTATAACATGTTTCTATTCTCGTATATAAATCCAATTAGTAAAGTCAAACTTCCAGGGAAATCACTGACCAGATAATGGAAGCGAAGTTAGATCACATACCATCAACACTGCGCCGTCTTGCTTCGCTCTGTACAAAACCCAGAACCTGAACCCACAAATGACGCACAAAAACCAAACGTTACTGACTCACAATTCCAGCTCAAAAAAAAACAAAACAAAACAAAACAAAAACAAAAACAAAAGGGAGACAAAATTTAACCAAAGATTCGCCATCCCCAGGAGCGAACGGGGACTCCGTACTCACGATTAAAACCATCTGCCAATAGATTTAAACCCTAACAAAAGGTCTTCTTGATAACTTGCACGACCAGAGGTGTTCTATGTCAATACATCCAACACAGCATTTGAATTGCTCCTATTTCACTGAATTTAAGCTTGGGAAGCCTCGATCGGATAAGATCATGAGGGGCCAAGTCTCCACTACTGTGACCTTCATCCCTCCACCAAGCCCACCTTGACAAACAACCTAATCGAGGTGGCTTGTAGGGTATGCACATTTGAAAGGATATGATCCCAACAAACTACGAGAAACCCAGAATGTCAGGGTTCATGTGCATTACCACATGACGGCGCACATGCCTTGGCCCACGCGCGAATGCCATCCTTTGGTGGCGTGCAGGGAGAGCCCCCCGTGTGTGATGTTGTGAGCCCCATGCCCTCCACCCGCCATAGCTCCTGACTCGATCCCACCGCCTGCTGCTCTTGCCCTCCCTCTGCACAAGCAGTGCGATCCGATGTAATGCGATGCTGTGCCGCTCCCTCGCTCGCTCGCTGGATTGCAACAGGGGGATTGTGGCACTGCAAGAGCTTTCAATCGAAGCAGACGCTGCCCTCACTCAAACATTTTATCCTTGCCCTTGCCCATCGGGCAGCGTCGTCGGGCAGCGTCAACGCTCCACAAAGATAATTCTTTTTACATATTACCACCTAATACTCCTCATAATCTCATTCATTTCTCTTTGGTGTGTACATCTGTCTGTGTCTATATATATAAATTAACCCTAAATATATATATATATATATATATATATTTATATTTATATTAAATAAATTACATATGTTGATAAATATTGTCAAACTCAACACTTTAATCAAATTTTATATTAGTATTTTTATTTTAATATGAATTATCAATAAGATAATTACATAAAAAAAATTAATTAATAAAAATATTAATTATAATATTTATTTTAATTTTAACTATTATTACCAAAGAATATTTAATTTTTTATAAATGGTTTAAAATTACTTAATAAAGATTTTCTATCATATAATCAATAGTCATCTAATATGAGCTTACATTTTATTTTTAAATCATTAAAACTTTAATTAGTATTAGTAAATATAGTTTTTTAAATTTTAAATTCCTTAAAAATTGGCTTTTGAAGTAGATAACATTATGTTAATTAAAGAAGATATTTAAAATAAAATTATAGAATATTTTGCTATTGAATAAATTCTCTAATCTTAAAAGACAAAATACACATATAATCATAGTTTGAAGATTATATATGTGCTGAAGTAGCAACATTACTGAATGAGGTATCAAAAATACTGAATAACATATATATTGAAACTATGTGGTTACATCTAAGAAGTAAAAATTAGACAAGATACCCTTTGTTGTTGATTAGTACAACTATGTATAGTTGATAATTTATAAAACATCATGGCCAAATACTATCAAGATGTAGCTTTTCATGTAATATAAAGACTTTTGTTGCCTAACATGAATATAACTTAGATGAAATTAAATTTAATAAAAAAATCAAAATTAAGATTTTATCAAAAATAAATATTAATTATTTGTACCAAAATAACTATCAATTATAATTGAGAATAACACTTAATAGTATAAAATTAATTAATTTTTTATTTAATAGTTAATTTTTAGAAAATAAAATAAAATCAAGTATTAACATTAGACAAACTTACTTAAATTTAAACACTAGGACATTGTAGATAATATTTTAGGCATACTTATATAGTTATTTAATACATTATAATTCACTATTTATGTAGATAAATCAAATATTTTTAATGATAGCTAACTTGTAAAATAATAATTAAATAATTTTAAAATAGCTAATATAAAAAAGAATATAATGTTTTGATCATAAAATTATGAATCTATTAATAATATTTTTTTAGATCTTATCATTTATAAAACTTAATTCTGATGAATTTCTCATTAAAAAAACTATTTCTAATTTAGACAAGAATAGACTTAATTCAGCCATTTCAAAGAATTAAATTACAAATAAGAAACAAACGGCATGACAAAATAAAGACAAACATTAAGTATGAACAAAGAATGTAGACATAATAACACCATATGATAATATATTTAATTAGAAGAAAAGACATGTGAATCAATAAAGAAATTAAATAACAAAGATTTACCAAATATCTAATATGTGTGATACTTATCTAAGACAATAAAATTAACACATTATTATTATAAAAAATATACATTCTTTATATTTATTTAATGATAAAAAATTGTAACTTAATAATTGATATAAACAGAGCAAAAACAAATTGTATATAAATATATAATAAAAAATACAAACTTACTAATGAGTTGCACATGTATACAAGCTAGTTTATAAATAATAAAGAAGGTACAAATAGGATCTTATAAACTATTTAATACAAATAAAAACACCAAATACAAATTTTACATGATGACACATTCTTCTAACATGCATGTCAAAACTAAAACTATTAAACCAACTATTAAACCAAGTAGTTAAATTTTTTTTTAAAAAATAAGCACATAAATAAAACTTTCAATAAAACTTGATGGAAATTTAAAAAAATAAGTAAAAATAAATAAGTAGTATCAAAATACAAAAACCATGTAATGACCATAATGCGATTAGTATACATAGAATCAATACAAAATTAAATTTTTTAAAATAAAATATTTAAATATTAAAAAAAATAAAGAAAAAATAACTAATAGAATTGAAATACCTTTAATTTATAATTATAACATATAAATAGATAGAGAAGATGAAATGAAATATTAATAAAAAAATCAAAGAAATAGTATTATTTCTACTAAAATACCTTTTAAGAGCACATGATAAGAATACATAATAAGAACAATTCAACTACTAAAAAAGAATTAACTAAGATAATTTTTGTAAATCTGAGATTTAATTATATAAAAAATATGATTTATAAAATTCAAATCAAAGAGATATATTTGAATTATTTATTAAATATATTAAGATTTTTAAAACTAAAGAGAAAACAAATAAGATGATATACTTGCAAATTAGCCATTGTTATTTTTTTAAGATCAAGTAGTTACAATATGTTATTAATATACATAATTATTTGGATAAAAATTGTGTTGTATAAAATAAATGTGAGTAGATTTAATAATATCTTATAAAGAAGCTTTTTAGAAGCTTCACAGATGCAGATTTGATTTTAAATATTTTTGTAGTTGAGTAGTAGATTAAAAAATTAATCAATAAGTTGGTGTCACAAATTTAGAATACTGATTGGAAATCTAAACAAGAAGCTCAAGAAGAATTGGCAAGAACTAGATTAGTCAAATGAATACAAGAACAACACTAAAGAGGTGAGCTAGAACACTAAAAGGTGTATTGTCGAGATTGAGGATCCCCTTAGTCTCCGCTCTTATATATACTACAAGCTAGGAAGCTTCTCAAGTAGCTTCTACAAATTAAGAAGCTTCTCAAGCAGCTTCCTCAAGCTTTAAAACTTCTCAAGTAGCTTCTACAAATTATACAGCTTCTCTAGAACCTTCTAGAATCTTCTACAATTTTCTAATGTATGTCCTTGACAACACCTCCCCCCCCTTTAGCTTTGAGGTCTCCGAAAAGCACTCCTATTGCAAATCAGTACCAATGTAAGAAGTTAAAAATTTGTCACATAGTGTCTACAATATACTCCAATTATTGTTCACAAGGCAAATAGTTCATTAGTCCTTGTAATCAATGATAGTGTCCTATGCCTTTGATTTTTGACCAAGCATGAACTTTCGTGTCTTTATTATGAAAATGCCCTACAAACACTCCTTTGGGAAGATCACCATAGGCAGGTTCTATCTCAAACACAATCACTAGCAACCTGTTACTAGATATCCTTTGTTGTCTTCGTGATACAAGCGATTCTACATCTCGAGGTCGTCTTTGTAAGATACTCGGTTGAAACGACATGATTGATATGGTATCTATGTCTTGGCTATCCATATCAGACCAAAATAACAAGCACTAAAAATAGAAGAATAGGCTCAGGTTACAGATTTATAGTCTCTAACTATATCTTTTAGAGGTTCCTTCTCCCCCTTCTTTGTAAGGCCGAGGACTAAGAGGCTTCAAGGAGAAGGGACTTCATTGAAAAACTTTCATCAAAAGAGCTTAGATTTCATATGATAGTCTCGATGAAACTTCTGTACCTTTTGCGATGCATTGATAAGTTTTCCCGCTGATTTCTATATATGCTCATTGATATCATAGCCGCTCCAATGCATTAGGTACTCCAATTTCTCCCACTTACACCACGAATCTAGTACCTATTCTACCTCATATTCCTCATAATTCTCAATTTTAATACTAGGTGGCAGACATTGCTCTCTTCCAAGAAAAGACGACTCTCGATAAGGCTCCAACAAAGAAATATGAAAGATTGGATGTACTTTCATAGCAGTCGGTAATCCCAGACGGTACGCCACTGGATTGATTTGCTTCTAGATGACAAATGGTCCCAATCTCTAGTAGTCGAACTTATCACATAGCCACCTGGTTTTGGTATTCCGTCGAAGCAGTCATACTTTATCTCCAATTTTGAAAGTAAGTGCTTGATTCCAAAATTTATCTATGGACGCCTTGTAAGCTTCTTGGGCAATTTGCAATTGACCCTTCAACTTAGTTTAAAGCTCCAATAGTTGTTTCATAAATCCTTCAGCTATCGGATTGTTATTAGTTGATGGACTCAACAAATCAAGCTTCGGATGATTTCTATAGTTAGAAAAGAATGGTGTTTGTTGAGTCAATACATGAAGGGTATTATTATATGTAAACTTGGTTAATGATAGATATACAGTTCAATCATCTTGCTGATAGTTGATGCTGTATCGTAAGTACTATTCCAAAGTTTGATTCATTCATTCCATTTGGATATGAGTTTGAAGATGGAAAGCCGAAGAAAGCTTGATATCCACCTTCAATATCTCAAAGAGAGATCTCCAAAACTTTGATACGAATTAGGTTCCTCGATCCAACATGATATCATCTGATAAACCATGATATCAATACACACTATTAATGAAGAGCTTTGCTGTGTCTTTGCTTGACAATATTTTCTTGCAAATGAAAAAGTGTGCCATCTTTGTAAGTCGATCTACCACAACAAAGATGTTGTCAAATGAAATTAATGGCGACAGGTCCGTAATAAAGTCCATAGAAATTGAAGACCATGGCCAACGTGGAATAGACAATGGCTGAAGAAGACCATAAAAACAATGCTAAGGGTTTTTGGATCTTGAACAAATGTCATAGGAGAAGACAAACTCCTTGACATCTTTTCACATTTAGAACCACCAAAAATCTCTGGAAATAAGTTCCAAGGTCTTATTGAATCCAAAATGTCTCGCAGCTAGAAAGTCGTGTCAAGATTGTAGAACTCGGAGTCGTGCTGGTCCCTTTGAAATATTCAACTACTTCTCAAAGTGTAAAAGATCTCCTTCTACCTTGAACTTGTCATAATTGACATATTGCATGATATTGAGGGCTATA